GACGCCGCACCCGCGCGTGCAAGTGGAGGAGGCGCGCCCTTCGTCTGCTCTCCGACCTGTTTCCTCTCGCTGGTCCTTACCCTGCATTCCCGCCTGGTACAGAGTCCACAGATCGTCACGTCACTTTTTCATGAAGCCTCTGTGAACCCTCTGTGCGCTTCGTCCCATAGCTTCTCTGCGCGGGGGCTCAGGCCGCGGGGAGCCGGCCCAGCACGGGGGATGGAGGGGGTCAGCAGGGCTCCCTCCTGACTGCCTCCTCGAGTCCCCAACAAGTTCATTTTTTTTCAGTCAGCCTACAGAAAGTTGAGTGCCCATTCCGCAGACACACCCAATGGCTTGATTTCCTGGGGTATGGAAAGACTATTTAGTTTCATGACAACTATTTCTGAAACATCTACTAGGAGCCAGATAACCAACTAAATTCTGAGAAGACTGGAAAAGAAACACAAGCCCTGACCTTGCCCAACTTACAATCTAATGGGGGGACAAGCATTCCAGCCACCACAGCACTGAGTGAAAAGCATTGCTGGGGAGGTCCCTGGATTAATGCGAGGAGAATCCCGCCAAGTTCTGAGGAGCTGAGCAGCAGATTCCCCAAGTCCTATAATTTAGAACTCTAAGCTAGCTCCTAAAAGTTGAGTACAACTTAGAGAGTAGCTTTCATTAGTCTTTGTGTATGCCCATCATGGGCCCACTCAGAGACTTAATCAAGTCCAATGAAGAGTCCTATCATATCTCACTTAAATCCCAGAATATCAATGAACTCCATTCACCAGTCCTTCCTCCTGACCTGGGTCCCTCAGCCTCAGGCTCAATCCGGGCTTCTCTGAACAAATCTAAATCACCCAACATGCATTGATCACAATTGATCAATCTTTTACAGAGAAGAAGGGGGAATGTGCCTGTGAAACCAGCATCCAAGAGGATTCTTTGGTGAAGTGAAGCCTGACCACTGCACAGAGGATGGGTGTGGGGAGGACTGAGGCCAGAGGCAGGACCTTGGGCCAGGGCTGCATTCACAGGGAGAGATGTGGTACCATGCCTTCGACCAGCAACCCACACAGGTGGTGGTTCTCCGCCAAACATTGACATGCTCACTGCTGTGCATCAGGCAGCATCTTAAGCTCTGAAAGAACCAACAACAACAACAAAACAAAGAACCTGGTCAAGATGAGTGATATAATAGATGTACAAACTAAGTACTTTGCAAGTAAGATCAAGACAATGGTGGCTACTACCTGGGAGAGGCCCCAGAAATGCTTCTCAATGGGCTGGACTCTGAACAGGGAAGGAGTTCCCAGGTGAAGGAGCACCATCAACAGGAAACTGGGAGAGAAGATTCTAGACCAGTCTGTGTTAAGAGAGAAGGTATGATCTATTTGAGGAAGAGTGGAGAATGTTATATGGCTAAAGCATACCAGGCTTATTTGGGGTGAGAGATGACATGAGACCAGAAAGGGAAGTTGGAGCCAGACTATGAGAGGCCTTCTGAGCTGTCTAAGAGTTTGGATTCTAAAGCAATGGGAAGGTTTTGAATGTTTTGAAGGAAGGAAGTGGGGAAGTTTTTTTAATGTTTTGAAGAAATGTTACCTGAGTTTAGATAGATACCTTTGGTTATGGCCACATAGATGATGTTTTGAAGCAGGAAGGCTGGAGGCATGATCCAGGTAAGATATAATGAGGGTTTGAACTGGTTCACATAGCACCTGTGGGGATGGAAATGACAGGATGAATTTGAGATATGTTTTAACTAGAGTCAGCAGGATTTGCTGAGCAAATATATAGAAGAGGGAAGAGTGAAACAAAGGAGTGGGAAGAGACATTTAGTCTTTTGCTTGGGCACCTAGACAGATGGTAATGGAACTTTTCCAAGTGGAAAAGTCCATGAGGCAGCTAGTGAGCTGGGTCTGCAGTTTTGGAGGGAAGACAGGATCAATGATTGAGATTTAAAAGTCATTAGCTTCTATGAGGGTGAAGCCAGAGAAGTGCTAGGGTAGGAATTTGAACCCTAGCCTCTAGTTTACTTGCATACGTGTTTATTGAGCACCTGCTATGTTCCAGGGCCAGTGGTTTGCGAGATTCAGAAGTGATAGATAGACGATGGCCCTGTGCGTCAGCAATGAGAAGGAATGAAGGGATCAGCACAGCTCATCTCCTGGCACCATGTCCAGACTTATTGCTGAAGCCTAGTCATATTTTTCATACAGCAAGTCTCTGATCTACTGATGGAATACACTCTCAACAATGACTACAAAGTTGCCTTCTTAATAAGGTCTTTGAGCGCAGGTCTACTGTGGAGCCCAGCCCAGTCCCACACAGACCGAGCTCAATACTATTGATTGCCCTTAAACCTGCACTGTCAATGGATGATTTGGCTTTGTTGAGGAGTGAAATGTAACATCCATTTTATGTCAGAGTTAGCAATATTAGTTTAACACAATCATAGCAGTCCCTCCCATCAAAATCTGTTCCTATTATTATAAAATATCAACATTAATTATCTGAATATAAGAATTAAGTGAGACTTTGCTTCTCCATAGTTCTCCGATTTTACAATTTTCTGCATTTTCCAAATGAGTGTGGGTTTGTTTTCGTTTTGTTTTTTTTTTTAACAGTAAAATGATGTTGAGCAGAAAGATAACATTTTGAAGATGCTTTCCTAATGAGTGATGCAGAGGTTTCACTTGATGCATTTTCAGGAAAACCACTGCATTTCTTTATGGATAATGTGTGCTCTACCAAAATACCAGAGAACCATATGAAGAGTGAATAGAAAAAAATAATATTGGTTGTATTTGGCTGTTGCTAATTAGTGGAGAGCTATAGCAATCTTTTTATGTTTACTGTATTTTCATTATCAAAGTAAGAGGTAGGCAAACAAAATTACTGCTAGTGAAGATATTTTAGTCTTTTTTATATAGAGTTACATACTTGTGATGATATTGAAGAATTTTTATCCTGCTTTCCTCACTTAACACTGTATGAATACCATGTTTCAAAAATTGTCGTATTTTAAGCCACCATATTAACTTCTATCAATTTAAGTGAGTTTACTAGACATTTATTTACATGTGAATACTTTGATTGATTTTCTATTTATAAACAATGCTGCAGTAAATATCTTCACACTTTCATTTGTTTCTGCATCCAAACTCTCAGATATGACATTATTGAGACAAGTGATATGACAAGGTGTGAGGTTCTTGAAATGTGTACCATTGTCTTCCAAAAGAACTGTAGCAGCCTTGTCATCAGCAGTGAATTCTCACAGTTTTAAACCTCTGGTATTCTGGGTATGGTACCTCATCGCTATCTACTAGCAGTTTAGCTATGATGTTACCATTCAGACTTAACTACCATTTACCAAGAGCAGTAGCCCATCAGCGAGTCTGTGGCTATGTTTGCAGTTAAAGAAGACATAGTGATGACCTTGCCATCCGAGGTGCAGAGACGTTGAAGGTCCACAGGCTCAGAGACCCTGATTCAAATGAAGCAAACCCACAGCAGATTGAAAACCAGCTCTCCTCATTCTTAGATTTCCTAGGTGTACAAATAGCTACAGGGTTCTTCCTCTTAAACAAAAAATATTTTTTAAGCATTTTTACATCCCACTTCTCTTTTTCACACTTTCCCATCTCTTTTCTTCTCTGGATAGCCAAACTCCCAGAAAGAATCATCTAGATTCTCCCCTGCTACCATTCACTCTTCAAGACTTTACAACCCAGTAGCCAAATCTAATGGATGCTTTCTGTTCTAATCACACTAGAGGACACTTGTCCCTGCAATTCTCTTCCCCCTTAGCTTGTGAAGAAGTTGCATAGTGGAAAGTGCAAAGGTTTTACTTTAAAACCTGACATGACCATATCATCTTGAGCAAATTTCTTAAATCTCTTCTCGTCTCTAAGGTTGATGCAAGATAGGGTGAGGCAGAACAGCAATGTGGTGAAGAGCTCAACTTTGGTGCCTTATCACCTGGGTTTGAGTTCACGTCTAGCCTGAGACCTTGAGTACATCACGCCTATGGGCTTCAGTTCCCTCGGGCATAAATATGGCATTTAATGAGCTACTGCGAAGGACTCTGAGCACTGCCTGTTCACAGTCAGTGCTATTTAAGTTTCTGCTTTATGCCTACACCAGGAGATTCTGTAGTGTTAAATGCTAACAGTGTCTGGCACAGTTTTTTGTCTTCTCCTGGTCTTCCACCCTTTCTGAGTCCCAGAGTTCTGTTGTTGGCCACCTTCCCTTGCCCCAAGTGATTTTGTCCAAATCCTTGGCTCTAATGATACTGTATAAGCTGATGATTCCTGAATCTCTTCCTCCTTTCTGATTCTAAACCTCCCTGCTGAGGTCTCCCCAGGATTGTCCACTGGCACCTTTCTCCACCTCCATATGTGCTCCACCTCTGTGTTGTCTCCATGCTCATTCCAGAACATTGACGTTATCTCCTGCATTCTCACTTCCTCCCTCCTCCCACACCCTCCACCCCAGCCAGCTGGCATCCCCCCTGCAGATCATCCTACAAATCTCAGGACTCTTTTTCTTCTCACCTCCACTGCTGATGTTTGCTCATCCTTCCATCACTTTTCCCTTGGACTATCTCAGTAACCGTCATACCAGCCTCACCCGTCCCCCCCACCCCCTTAATCTCTCCTTCTCATGGCTTATGGCTGAATTGTGTACACCCTCAAATTCATATGTTGAAATATTGACCTCTAGTACCACAGAATGTGACTGAAGTTGGAGATTGGGCCTTAAAGGCATGATTAAGTTAAATGAGGATGGTAGGATGGGGCCCTAATCCAATCTGAGTGGTGTCGCTAAAAGTAGAGAAAGAGACACCAGGCACATTTGCATGGAAGGGTGACCATATGGAGACACAGTGAGAGGGCAGCCATTGATAAACCAGAGAGAGGCCTCAGGAGAAACCTAAACTGACACCACCTTGATCTTGGACTTCCAGCCTCCAGGCTGTGAGAAAATAATTGTTATTTAAGGCCCCCATTCTGTGGTACTTTCTATGGCGGGCAGAGCAGATTAAAGGCTTTGCTCTCAGCTGCTTGTGGACTATGGCTTGCAGCTCCTTGAAGGTGTAGGCTGGCTCTCCCTCAATGCTGTTCTTGCGACACTGCTCCCGCTTCACTGTTCAAGATCCTCACTCACCTTTTTTTAAAAAATATATTTTATTGATTTTTTACAGAGAGGAAGGGAGAGGGATAGAGAGTTAGAAACATCGATGAGAGAGAAACATCGATCAGCTGCCTCCTGCACACTCCCCACTGGGGATGTGCCCGCAACCAAGGTACATGCCCTTGACCGGAATCGAACCCGGGACCCTTCAGTCCGCAGACCAACGCTCTATCCACTGAGCCAAACCGGTCAGGCCTCACTCACCTTTCAAAATGAAATTTAAACATCACCTCCTCAGGGTTGAGTGACAAATGGTATCTGCTGTATATGTTCTTATTATAGTCATTGTTACTGATTTACGTGTTTGTCTCTCCCACTAAATCCATGAGAGAAATTTAAAAACCTGTATCTTATGTTGTTTTATTCCTAGCACAATGTGGTCTCACAGACAGTATCCAATTTATTTTTATTGAGCGCATGAATAAATGAATGAAAGGCAGCTTCAGTCATGGTTATATATGATGTTTTTCTAGAATGGTACCTTACATAATATGTCCTATTGAGTGTTTGTTAAGTAAATGAATAAAAATATACTGAACGTGCTGCAGATCATTTTTTCTGCACTCATATCTGTTGAAGTCCTATGAAAGCTAAGAACATATGGCAAAATAAAGACCCAGCTCCTTGAAGAGATTCACCCATGCAAATCAGCTCAAATGGCACTGATTCCTGACAACTGTAATCATGGCTGAACTAGAATGGAAAACTTGACTCTCTCCCTTGTGTGCTTAGCTCACTGGGCTCTGGCTATGTTAGTCTCTGAGTTCACTGCTTCTTGTCTGCCCAAGCAAACACTCCCTCTTGGGACAGAATTCACATGGAAGCACACCCTGGCCAGTCCTCTTCTGTTCTTCAACACTTCGGCTTTTCTCTTTGATTGCTGGTGGGGCAAGGAGGGCTGTGGGCACTGAGGGGAATTGGGTTAGGGCAGTGGTCGGCAAACTCATTAGTCAACAGAGCCAAATATCAACAGTACAATGATTGAAATTTCTTTTGAGAACCAAATTTTTTAAACTTAAACTATATAGGTAGGTACATTGTTATTAACTTAATTAGGGTACTCCTAAGGCTTAGGAAGAGCCACACTCAAGGGGCCAAAGAGCCGCATGTGGCTCACGAGCCGCAGTTTGCCAACCACGGGGTTAGGGCTTTGCAGCAGCCGGGAGCATCTGGCACACGGAGAGAGTCTAGAGCAGTGATGGCGAACATTTTGAGCTCGGCGTGTCAGCATTTTGAAAAACCCTAACTTCACTCTGGTGCCGTGTCACATATAGAAAATGTGTATATTTGCAACCATAGTAAAACAAAGATTTATATTTTTGATATTTATTTTATATATTTAAATGCCATTTAACAAAGAAAAATCAACCAAAAAAACGAGTTCGCGTGTCATCTCTGACATGCGTGTCATAGGTTCGCCATCACTGGTCTAGAGCAAGGGTCCTCAAACTTTTTAAACAGGGGGCCAGTTCACTGTCCTCAGACCGTTGGAGGGCCGACGTATAGTTAAAAAAAAAACAACTATGAACAAATTCTTATGCACACTGCACATATCTTATTTTGAAGTAAAAAAACAAAACGGGAACAAATACAATATTTGTATTTGCATGTGGCCCGCGGGCCATAATTTGAGGACCCCTGGTCTAGAGGAAGCACAAATGGTGGGAGAAGAGCGAGTCTGTTGATGAGAACCAAGTGTGGGCATGGAGTTGCAACTCAGTTCTACAAACGCTGACCGGGTGCTTACATGGCTCGGTGCTTGGGGCCCAAGGATGCTGAAGTCCTCACATCAAGCCAGCTGCAGGTGTTGAAGGAAAAGACGGAGGAAAACAGAGAAGGAAGGAGGGGGGCAAGAGTGCAGCCAGGATGGAGGGTCTTGAAGCCCAAGAACAGAAGTGCTGATTAAGTACAGGAGACAACCAAGGACGTCACTGGAACTTATAATGGGGTTGGTATAATGGTAGCTGCAGATAAGATTCCTACCTTGTACTGGAGGTTGCACTAGAAGGTTTCTTGGAACCTCTCCTCCTCTAAACACTTAATACTCTAAAATTAGCAGATTGTGAGGCCAACAGATGGGCCCAGCAAACCCCATAACACCCTCTAAAGTCACTGTTGCCCCTGGAAGAAACAAAAGTGCCAACCAGCATTGGGATTGCATATCCTCCTGGAATAGCATCAGCTACAACAGTAACCATAGTGATAATGCCTGATATTTAGTGAGGACTTCCTTTTGCCAGACACCATTCTGCTTTCAATGGATCATGTCACTTAATCTTCCAAACAGGGGATGACTCATATTCCCATTCTATGGAAGGAGAAATAGAGGCACACAGAGCTCTAATAACTTTCCCAAAGTTACATAGATGGTACAATGGAATAGCACTTGTCATTCTCATTTTCAGCAGCTAAACTGACCTCCTGGATGGAAAGGTCCACCCCTCCCATTGGCCTGGACTCCACAGAAGGGTGGACAAATTACAGCCCCACAGGCCAAGTACAATCTGCTGCCCATTTCTGTACGTGTACACTGGTGAGTAAGAATATTTTAAACAGTTGGAAAAATCAAAAGAAAAGTAATCTACACTAATAAAAGACAAAGATGCTAATTGACCATACCTTCACTACGTTCATCAGCCAATCAGAAGAGTATGCAAATTAACCCAACAAAGATGGCCATTAAATTTGCATACTGCAGGCAGATCCCGCTGTGCCACCCTGCGTGGATGGCAGCGCAATCCCCAGCCACTGCCTGCCCCAGCGTGGGATCCGGGCCTGCCATGTGCAGCCCAGGGAGGTGGGGGCAGGCGGCAGTGCAATCCCCAGCCACCGCCCACCCCAGTGCAGGATCCGGGCCTGCCATGTGCAGGCCGGGGCAGGCGAGATGGGTGGGGGAGGCGGAAGCGCGATCCCAAGCCGCTGCTCGCCCCAACAGGGGATCCGGGCCTGCTGTGTGCGGGGCGGGCGGGAAGGCAGCAGCATGATCCTGAGCCGCCGCCTGCCCCATTGCAGGATCCAGGCCTGCTATGTGCGGCCTGGGGCAGGGGGGCAGGCAACAGCGCAATCCCCAGCCACCGTCCGCTCCAGCACGGGATCCGGGCCTGCCGTGTTTGACTGGGGAAGATGAGGCAGGCAGGCACTGCGGGATCGGGTGTGCCATCTGCAACCAGTGGAGCGGGCCTAAGCTAGCAGGTGGGTATCTCCCGAGGGGTCCCAGACTGTGAGAGGGCACAGGTTGGCCTGAGAGATGCCCCCTCCCCCCGCCAGTGCACAAATTTTTGTGTACCGGGTTTCTAGTCTATCTAATCCAATAAAAGACAAATAGGGTATTTAACGGTACCTCCGACATGCTTCCCATTGGCTAATCAGGACGATATGCAAATTAACTGCCAACCAAGATGGCGGCCAGCAGCCAGGCAGCTGAGGCAAACAGGAGACTTGCTTACTCCAATGAAGGAGGAAACCAAGGTTCCCCGCCTGCTGCGGCCAGGCTCTGAGCTGCACTCTAAGAAACACTGTTGCAATTACAGAAGCTAAACAAACCCCAGAAACCTGCTTTCAGCCAGCTGAGGCCTCAGAGCTGGAGCTGCAACAGTGTTTCAATGATAGAAGCCAAACAAAG